CTCCATATACTGCATTGCAATAAAATCTTTGTAAGCTTTACGAAATTCCGTGATGCAGGTCCTAGATACCCAAAAATAAGGAAACTAGCGATCGATTTTGCTAAAAGAATAATCAAAAGAACCATCTGCCAATGTTCCACAAATATATATTTAATTATATATCCAGCACACAGTTGCATTAAATTAGTGTCATCATTTCGGTAGACAACCATAAGATTTTCACGAAGTGAGCTTACATGACTATACGAAAAGGAATAGGAAAATTGCATTAGTCCATATATGCAGTTCAAATTATTGAAAATAGTAAGCTGTATTTTATATTTCCCAGAAAGAATGAAATTACGAGAATTATTCTAGTATTATATTTGCCATAAAGATGCTTCAACACATGCACAACATGGATTGAAGAACGCTTTGTCGGGTGCGTAAATTATTAAGGCTAATACAGAAAAATCGTTTCAAGAAAAACTACTTTAATGCAAATATGCGATTGCCATAACTAGGTCTTGTAAATAATATAAAATAAAGCATTTTACAGATATTACATGATATGATGCAATGGTACACTTATGCTATTTGTATGCGTCAGCGACTCTCGCGTTTAGAAACTGTAACTGACAACTATCGTACTATTTCTCAGCAATGTATATCATAGTATTTAGTTTAGGTATTTATAGAAGGGTCAAGAACCATTCCATATTTTATGCTTTAAATGCCAACGTAAGCGGTAAAAGCGAGCAGACTATAGCATTGCAGTAGGACAAATAAGGAAACTGCATGAGCTACGGTGGTAGATTTTATAATTTTAGTGCTACGGTACCTTCCCTTCAATAGGTATCGTTATTTCGCTTTAAGTTCAGCCAACATTAGCCATTATAGAATCATTGACTGAAGTAGTAATGTAATTATGACAGACTACAGACTCCGTTAGTTATTATCATAGCTTTAGTGTTAGTAATTAAGATCTTATATACTAGCTAATTAATAACCTTATATTAATTAGCTACTCGATGATTTAGTTTCATTGATAGTTTAGTCATACTGTGATGTAGACCCTATGCAGAAAAATTTACTTAAAGAGATGACAACTATAAACACATTGTGATTTCTGTTACTTTATGCCGAGCCTTCGATCGTTAATTGGCTCTTATTTAGTTCATAACTCATTGGTGTTGTTTACACCGTTTGCCATACTAAATCATATAGACAGTCGAACCACATAAAGCCATATACATTTTAGGCTTATTCGTCTAAGTTGTGCACCTAGTGCAGCCGAGCTAGGGTATATAAAGCTCGGTGCCCTCATTAGCTGTCTGCCGTAGTAGTATACACGTGTTGCAGGGCTTAATAGTCTTGAATGTCAAGACTGTCTCCGTTTAATAAAATATTTTAAAGCCTAAGACAAGCTTCGCTAGTCTGAGCTTAGCCCGTTATGTGTACACTTGGCTGTTGTAGTCTCACGGTTTATGCGGATTTAAAGACCCAGGTTTTCTTGTCGTGATTTGAACACGACAGTTATATAGTAGTGTCTATTTAACGGTAACAGACTACATTATCTTCCTGATGAGTTTAAATTGCTATCGCAGCAGTAACATAATATAAGTTGTGATTATCTTTTCAGGTGATCCAAAAAACTTAATAGTGATTATTTTCCAAACGGACAGATACAGCAAAAATTTATGGAGACAAATATGTCGATCCAGAATATAGCTCGATGTTAATCCGAAGAAGAAATTATGCAGCTATAATATAAAATATTGTGCATGTGACAGAATGGCAGTTTCACTAAAAGCTACGAATATATCTCTAAATCAAATTTATGTCGCTTCCCGAATTATCCTTCGAAGTAGCTTTACTAAATTAATACAAAACAGGTACCGGTAATATTGTAATTTTTAGGTACTTACTATTCTCGAATTTTTCTCTCTTTTAATGTATAGTTCCAAAATGCATACACTACCATTAAGATCATTAGCAACGCTAGGCCTTTATCAAGTATTAAATTATGTCTTTGATTGAAGAACTGACAGCTTTCAAGTGGCCAAAGATTAATTCCTGTTCTAGCCGATGTAGATGACTCATTAAGTAGAGTATCTGTTGGGTCAATAAGGAAAAAGTAACAAAAATTATACTTGTAGACACAAATGGGATCTAAGTGAGGTATATAATCATAGATTTCGTTTGGATTGCATGAAAGATGCTTTTTTGAAATAGTTAGATGGCGTAATCGATCCGATTTAATGCTTGTTGGCATCATTTTAGTCGCTGGATACAAATTCATTCCCATCATGCTTGAAGTAGATAATAGTACAGTCGGAATATATTCCATTATAGCTATATATACACGTATGTTTCTAGAAAAAATGTTATTCCCTAATAAATTGGGCGTACGGTTAAATTGAATCTTCACAAGTAACTCAATTACAGTTGATGTAAACGGGTTATCCTTCTTATTTCTTTCTTCCATCATCTTCTGCGCTTGATTTATTATCACATTTCTATCTTGATTACTAATATTACACGTAGAATAGAAAACTGTTCTTCCCTCCACTTGAAGGCTAGCATGACATAAAAACAGGGCTATCAGATATAAACTTGTGTGATTCATGCTGTTGTTAAGAATTGAAAAATTGCTTCCATATGCACGTCTTTTACAAGAACTAGCTTTAACGTCTTGTGGCTTCAGCGATAGAGATATCACAATTTTAATGTAATGATTATAGTATCTTACGATTTTACGTCCAGTATGTGTGTAGGCGATGTGCTTGGGTATATCCTTTTTTACAATCTATACTCTCTACTCTTTATTCTCAGTAATAAGTAAGCAATTATAATTTCGCGCCTAACGAGTTTGCTAGGCATAGAAATTTTAACATATATTTATATACATGTATGTGTATACTCGATTATGATGTTGCAGGTGATAAGTTTTAGCCGTAAAGCAGTTTCTGGTTCCTCATCATATAAAAAATCATAAAGCGATTTAGGAACTCTGGCCTTTGTTTCATGAAGTTGATAGATAAATATATCATTATGCAATAAATCATAAACAAGTCATTGTTCTTTTCGCGTAAAAGTTTTTCAATAGGTTCCCGCAAGACATCTAGCACAAATAAAATGTAGGAACGCCGATTATGGACAATGTGTCTGCACTACTACCTTCGCTGCCATGAGCCTAGCTCTGTCGTCACGTCTCTATAGTCCCCTATGGCTATTTATTCTTTTATTATATATGAACTTTTATGGGGTCATTTACCATGCTACTTTGCATATTTCCGTGCTTATTTGCATGTTTAAACGCTTCAAGAAAACCGATCGTTATGAACTTTCCTATACAGATAATTAAAGCCATGCATTTGCGATCAATTTTATACAAATTCACGCAAAATTGAGAATATCGAATATCCGATATGATCCATCGAATGTATCGGATCACGTCGTACTGATATCAATTTGTAAGCAATTTTATTTACTAAAAAGTGGCCTATCGCCGTTTGAAATGACTAATCGAACACCATCTTTTGTCACTTTTTAAAATGACGATAGTTGACTTTTAGTAAGTAGAATTTCTTAACATATTCGATCAAGAAACTACCACTCATGTACACTAAACCGTAAAGCTGTTGGGAGTTTATTAATTCAAATTGAAAACCTAGATTTGCAGTGTACCATTGAAGTCAAGGCCAAGATATCCGTCCGGATTGGGTTTGAACGTTTGAATAGCTTAAAAGTTGAAGGTCTGTGACCATCATTTAACGACTGTCACTGTTTGGATTGCTCATCATACTCGTACAGCATCCGTAATCCATCAGTTTGCTTTATAAGACTCTAACCACACTTCGTATAACTCATCCTTGAAGTGATGTGTAGATGATGAATTGAGTTATGCGATTACCAAAGTTTTATAAAAATAAAAAAGAATATCTTCGAGCGGTAGCGTTAATTCATTATTTATTATTGGAATAGCTGGTCGCTTCTAAGCTTTTATAAGGAACGTAGGGACTGTAACGGTAGAGTAGGCTAACGTTGACTCGATCTGAAATTGGAAGGGTCTGTGTCCAAATCACTCAGTTCGAGTAGTGCATTTGTATAGTATAGTTTGTGGAGAGGGGCATCTTGTATGATGATTACGATGACACGATGGGGACCCTGAATGATTTTATACGGTACAGTATATAAAATATACTTGTATGGGACACTATACTGCACAGACTATGGAAAGCGAGGATTGGCTAGCTGGTGGCCAGTTGCATAGCAACCAAAACTACCTCAGCCTTCGACCTTGCATTTCCACTGCTGTAAACATGATTCCAGTTGTTTTCCAATGCTTATTACGTTTTATGGCAGGAAAAAGCCTTTCAGTAAATTGAAATACATGCCGTATACGCGAGTATCGTTCAAAAAATGAAGAAAATAGAGAGGTTATTTCCTAATTGCTATGGGTCGTAGTTCTTTTCAATATTGGTTGCCATTTTAAGACAGGAATAAGCCTGTCAATGAATTGAAATACATGTGTAGTTGATCATGTCTAATGAAGCTCCTAAATCTGCAATTGGAGTTTTGAATTCATAACACAGATTATGCCATCTTAGTGTACTGCACAAAGCCAAGTCATCGAATTTTCAGATGCAGTAATGGACAATGAACGTATTGACTATGACAAATTTTGTTCCAAATAAGTAATGCAACAGTGGTTCCCGTTATAGTTGGGATGTATAGTACAACTAATTAGTAATACGCATCAGTATCGAGGTAAAATAGAATAGATTAATTTTATTTTTATCGTCCTCAAATTCAATAAAAAGTATATCCATATATACAGTAGCCAATAGCAATTCAAAGTTGAATACACTAAACGTATGCCATAAGTGATCGAAGTATTTTTAAGACAGAAAGACCTGCTATGGTATCAACACCTTGTTATCATTCATTTTATATACGCGCTCATCTAGCTTTTAAGACCTTGCTAAAATGATAATTCTATTTATCTTAAATACAAATTAGTCGCCTTCATCCAATGAATTGTCATTTTCTTCATCGTCATCTCCTTTTACACTCTTTAATTTCGCTATAAGGTCTAGTCAAGCAGGAAGAATTATTAGAAAGAACAAGACATTGCAATGTATTACGAATAGTATGCGACAGGGTTATCTAACCTTTAGCTGGCTTAAAAATCCCACCGGTTTGAGCCGAACAAACAAAACATCGCTGCGTTTTCCTATAATGATCTAGAGCACATTTCTCGCAAAAGTAATGTTGGCATCTAGAAATGGTGTTTTAAACAATCATTATAATAATCCGATTTAGAAAACAGGACATTAGCTAAAGAATGTCTACGTACTTGGTGACCACTGGATTCTTAAACGACTCCCTACAGATAAAACAAGCAAAAGGAAGTTCATCGTCACTATCCGATATTTCATATTTGTGCACGTCTTCTTCGTCATTGAAGTTAGCAGTCGACTCTCTCTCTAACTGCCAGCCATGCTTGTAGTCTCCGCGATCGTGAAGAAATTTACAATTATCTAAAAATGAAAAGATGATCATAATTAGTCAATCTGAGAACACACTCTTAAACTGCATCTAAAGGCCACAACTAAAGATCTATCCGCAAGAACATCTATTTACCCACCTCCATAACCGCAATAGCCTGTTTCCTTGTAATCTTTACAAATATCAGGCTGATAATCCCAGCGAGTTGTGGCTCTCAAGTAAGCAGGTGCACGAATTGGACCAATTCGTACACTGTTACTTGAAGCATTTCCTTGTGCTGTATCGCGCTGTTTATAATATTGCGCGTAATTGTTGATTCCTCTATAAATTTTGTCATCTTCCTTTCCTTTCAGTTCCTACGTAAAGGCAATTACAGTAGTTAACCATAATGATAATCCTTTCTGGTAAGGACATTAACAATTTGATTAATACTTAGATTAAGAATAATGTTTCAGTGACGCCATAAATGCATGATAGCCTTTATCGCTACTACTGTATTTCTCACTTCGTTAATTTTTTGGCTTTTCTCAAATATTGCTCTAGCATCTCGATCGATTTCAGTGTCAACTTCGTTGGTTAACGTAGCACCCATATCGTCAGGACCAGTTGCTTTCTAATATCACAAATATAATTTAATTTTAGATGTAAGCAACTCTCATGGAATTTAGTATAAAAGTAATTTGTGTATTTCCACGCCGACGGAAATGCATCCTTTACGGCATCACTGATATAGTCGGATTCGATATAAATATTACTTCACTATAAATTCATAGATACTTTTACGACGTTCATTCAATAACTCGATCTAAGACAGTGATTATATCAATATTACATGTAAATAGGAGTCTGTTGCAATCGCAACCAGCAACGTTCATCGAATAGCCTTTTACGATGCTATTATACGTACCGCTGAGCGAGTCGATTTATAGGAGAATGCTACTGGTAAATTATCATCCTCTTCGTTGCTATTGTTTTCGTTTAAAACCTCATCGTCATCACGAAGGCCTCTTTTACGAGTCTATAAGAAGATGCAACAAAGATAAAGGTTGAGACATCATAGAACAATCCATAAAAGACCGCTATACCGACCAAGAATACGTATAGCATGTCCTAAAAAGTTACATGATCGTGACTGATCGTCCTATTCGCTTAATGCTGCACAACTTTCATGGTTAGTCATTGCTAATTACAGTATATTAATCTTCCAATTTGTCCACATGATGTAAAACGCGATATTTCAATGAGGCAATTGATAAGAAAAATGGATCTCCAGGTGTACCTTTTGAAGGAGTGGCTTTCCAATTTCCGTTTTTCTTTCTTTCCTTACCACAGCGCTTCCATCTTCACTGTCTATTAATTTATTGCAAGGTAATGAAGTTAGAAGCAAGGCAAGGTACGCCAAGGCCACATTCATTCATGATACAGTGGTACATCCTCGGCAGATACATATCATTCTGTTACTGATAACGTTGCTGAATGATCAATCATTCTCCATACACATCACATCAACGTATCTACACTTCAAGCTGTATTAAGCGTTCATTTTTGAATCCTATTAGCCTTATAGTAACGTGTTTACAAATAGTCTTGCATGACTTTATCAACATAACGAAGACAATATCAATCTAGTATCGCACCAATTCATCTCACACAGCCTATAGTATGATCATGCAAGACCTACTAGATACATCGTTTCTTCAACATTCTAAACTGAGGAATATCGTCTATCTACCTCGACTCGTTAACTATCCAGCTCAATAAAGCATAAAGGTTACAATACCTTCTGAATTGGAGTGAGATGGTGGCCTCTTCATTCTACTTTGTGGACGTTTCCTGTTGGATTTCTTGAAAAATGAGCAGACTTTATCTTCTTCCGACATGGTGTTTAGACGACTAATAACACCAAAACTACTTCTGAATAAGAACAAGACCTTCTACTCGATCTTGAGTAATTGCTAAGCGTTCTAATGCCTATTGATAATCTTGACAGATGGAAAATAGCGTCTAGTTTCGCCTCCAACTTCGAAGTGCTGATTCATGCAAACAAATGCAAAACTGAAATAGTAAGCGGGGTCTGCTTCAAATTTTCAACATGCGCATAGCAACTCTGTCGTCAAGGCGTACTGAATGTACAGGACTGCCTGATACCAGGGCTACTGCCTTGCATTCTGTATAGCTGTAATGCGACGTCTTAAACTATAGCTTTTGCTATGGTCTAGTAGACTTTGTCACTGCCTATATACCGTACTGTAGTAGAAAAAGATGATGGCGTATAATCGCAGTTAAAACCATCGACAATATTTAAACTGGACCTTTCTCATGTCGAGATATATTGGTGTAAACGAAGTATCTTATCCGAATAAGGATTTGAATAATAACATTTATTTACAGCCTATAGTGAGTAATAGATAGTATACAAGGTTGTAGATCTCCGCATTCAGTACTTACTTTTAGAAAACTTGCGAGTTTTCTTACATACTCTACTTGTTTACATCGCGAGGATCGTAAACAAGAACTATCGTAGCCTATTTTAGTCGAATAACACTAAGCTACTTCTTTACAATTGGCCTTTGGGGAAAATGATTTTTGCCCATGGGTTGATTTTAGCATGGCTATGATCGATCAGAATTCACTTTCTTGGTTTAGTCGAGTTAGCTACTGGAGTAAATATACTGTATTCAGTGTAGTAGAAAAGTGAGGAATGACGTAAACCATAAAGACATTGAAGCTGACCTTTCTTATGTCTAGACATATTGGCCTTCGGAGGAGAATGATTTTTGTCCATGGGTTGATTTTAGCATGGCTATGATCGATCAGAATTCACTTTCTAGGTTTAGTCGAGTTTGCCACTGGATGGAATATACTGTATTCAGTGTAGTAGAAAAGTGAGGAATGGCGTATAATTGCAGTTAAAACCATAAAGATATTGAAGCGGACCTTTCTTATGTCTAGATATATTGGCCTTCGGGGGAGAATGATTTTTGTCCATGGGTTGATTTTAGCATGGCTATGATCGATCAGAATTCACTTTCTAGGTTTAGTCGAGTTTGCCACTGGATGGAATATACTGTATTCAGTGTAGTAGAAAAGTGAGGAATGGCGTATAATTGCAGTTAAAAACCATAAAGATATTGAAGCGGACCTTTCTCATGTCTAGATATATTGACCTTCGGGGGAGAATGATTTTTGTCCATGGGTTGATTTTAGCATAGCTATGATCGATCAGAATTCATTTTCTAGGTTTAGTCGAGTTTGCTACTGGATGGAATATACTGTATTTAGTGTAATAGAAAAGTGAGGAATGGCGTATAATCACAGTTAAAACTATAAAGATATTGAAGCGGACCTTTCTTATGTCTAGGTGTATTGGCCTTCGGAGGAGAATGATTTTTGTCCATGGGTTGATTTTAGCATGGCTATGATCGATCAGAATTCATTTTCTAGATTTAGTCGAGTTTGCTACTGGATGGAATATACTGTATTTAGTGTAATAGAAAAGTGAGGAATAGCGTATAATCCTATTTAAACTATAAAGATATTGAAGCGGACCTTTCTTATGTCTAGATATATATTGGCCTTCGGGGAGAATGATTTCTATCCATGGGTTGATTTTAGCATGGCTATGATCGATCAGAATTCACTATCTAGGTTTAGTCGAATTTGCTATTGGATGGAATATACTGTATTTAGTGTAGTAGAAAAGTGAGGAATGGCGTAAAAGTGGTTATTAACGACCGTAATTTAATCGCAGTTAAAACACCCTTGTTTTTCTGCCTGCTTACTATATTGCCATTGAGGGGAAAATGAATTTTGCCGATGGAATGATTTCACCATGGCTATGATCTATCGGAATTTATTTTCTTGGTTTAGTAGAGTTGTCCGTTGTCATTGGCTGTAATTTACTGTACTCAGCCATCGACTACTCAATACTTTTTTCCTTGAACGGCGTTAAAATGGGATATAAACGACCGCTATAATCGCAGTGAAAACACGCTTGTCTTTCCGCCTGCTTACTACGTCTATTGCCATTGAGGGGAAAAGTAATGTTTGTCGATAAGATAATTTCAGCATGGCTATGATCTACCAGGGTTTATTTTCTTGGTTTAATTGAGCTCGATTTGGTCAATAAGCTCAGCTTTCCCTCGTATTACTGTTGTAAAAGGATTAGAAGCAACTCGTAGAATGGAGGATAATTCTCAAGAGAAAAACTTGCGATTCTAATGATTGATTTTCTACTTTAGCAGTCAATATGGACAAGAGTATTGGAAAATAGGAAGCATTCGTCATAATGATGGCTTCATAATCGATTGGGGAAGTTGTGAAAGACATTAGAGAAAATTGTCTGTCAGACTATCCTCATCATTTGACTTTATGACGCTTAGTTTACCATTTTTAGAGGCAGAGAATATTTCATGGTAGCAGAAAATGTAAATTAGCTAACTAGACTAATAACAACGGTAATTAATCATCCAATCAACGCAATTTTATAAACTGCTGTCGCGGAGTCACTTTTCCATAGCAATTGTAGCTTAGCTATCATTCTTTAGGAATACATTGACAATACGAGCATAGAATTCATAAAATAATTTTTCTACATCGTCTAACCAATTTCTCATTACTATGACTTCTTGGTAATAAGGAACATCGCCCCTATTTAGAGTTACATTGCTGACTCTAGCCTTTAAATAAATGTCGGGAGGACACACCTTCGTTAAAAGTTTAATAATTACTACACAGTGTCTATTAAAATTTCCTTTTTGATCTGGTGCTTGATCTAAAGCTTGGCCGAAGTACACGTATCAATGGGAATAGTCTATCCCAGACAATCATTGAAGGATACTTGGAATACTATCGTTTGGATAGAAAACTGCATCTGCAAACATACATCATGAAGTAAGAAAGTAAAATAAAAATCGCAGTGTCTATCCGTCGTTGGTGGCTAACCCCAATGTGGATTAAATTTGCTTCGTAAGACAGTAGACTGTACCATACGCAAGTCCTTGCAATATACATAGTATAGTTCTGCATGGCCAATACTCACGAAACACCCGATAGAGCTGGTTTACTAAAGGATTCTTAATTAGTAACTGGCAACCGCTTGTTTAGTCAACAAATTCTTGCTAGGAGTAAACTCCAATCTCATTTTTATCATCGTATTCCCTTCTAGGTGGATCCGTCGTGTTGTTGACTGTATAACTCATCGCAGGATAAGAACGTACAGTACTTAACGGCCAATAAAGCTGCTAGAAAGCAAGTATACTAAGACAATTCTGACTTGGTAAACGCTTGTTCAATCAACAATTCTTGCTAGGAGTAAACTCCAATCTCATTTTTATCATCGTATTCCCTTCTAGGCGAATCCGTCGCGTTGTTTCTTCTCTGGCCAGACTGTATAGCTCATTGTAGGATAAGGACGTGCTGAACAGCCAATCAAGCTGGTAGAAAGCAAGTTTACTTAGCCAATTCTTACTTGGTAAACGCTTGTTCAGTCAACAATTCTTGGCAGGAGTCAAACTCCAATCTCATTTTTATCATCGTATTCCCTTCTAGGTGGATCCGTCGTGTTGTTGATTTTCTGGCCAGACTGTACAGTATAGCTCATTGCAGGATAAAAACGTACTGAACGTCCAATAAAGCTGGTAGAAAGCAAGTTTACTGAGACAATTCTTGATAGGAGTAAACTCCAATCTCATTTTTTATCATCGTATTCCCTTCTAGGTGAATCCGTCGTGTTGTTGATTCTCTGGCCAGACTGTACAGTATAGAGCATTGCAGGATAAAAAACCTACTCATCCGATACTTTATTGACTCTTTGCTGGAGACTCTATGCTTAGGCTGATTTCTTAAGGTAGCTGCTTAAAAGAAAAGATCTTGTCGAGTGGATCGGTAGAAGGTGGTCTCTACACTTGGGTTGACCATGTTTGCTGTAGCCGTCAATGAATTTATCCGTTCTGCGGGTCAAGACTCGCTATGCGGTGTACCAGATATCAACTCTTCCGGTGATTTCATGCCTTTGCATATTATTGTCAAAGAGGTTCCCAAGGTACTCCCTTGCTGTCGACGTCCTAAAATCAAGCGAACGCCGTATACCTTGAACGATATCCTTGATGAACCTTGCCCGAATCAGTTAAAATCTTCTGATTTAGTCACATTTACTGAGCCTCTAGTCTCCAACGTCAAGGCTAGTTCATCCATTGGATTACAAATTCTTAAACACTTCGATTCGGGAGTAAGTGTCGTTATTCATTTGTTGTTAGCCCTAGCATGTTTGGCTTCCTGAATCAATTGAGTTTACTTATGTTATTATAGCTTGCTTTTCTTTTCTTACACTCTGTTGCACTAATTCGCTATGGCTTAATACACAAGACAATCACTATCAGAAATTGTATAGTCAATAATCTCAAGCGTATTGACTTTTTCTCTAGTAATTGCAATTTATAAATTCTAAAGATATGCTCCAATGCTAGATATACAGTGTTATAGACTGGATGAATAAGTAAAGGCAATGTTAACATTACTAATGTACGATTTCACCATCAAAGCAAAATGATTTTATTTATACATCAGCTTTAGTAATCGTAGACAATATCCTATTACTGCAGCTATGATGTACAATTGATGGATAATGATTATAGTTAAGTATCCAAGGATTTCGTTTTACTGTATCTAGAAGCAACTAATTACCTGTTGAACTTAACTATCGCAGTTAGTGGATCAGGATCAAGTCCACTTTAAAAAGTTAAAAGCGATGTTTTATTGTAAGCGGCCCGCAACAAGTGTGTAGTAAACATTCACCCTAGGTTAAAGTGATCGTGATTACCAAATCGACTTTCAGTACTTTTTTAGTCCGCAATGATCGTTCGGTACTTATGATACCTTGTACACGTGTAATCTTTCCAATCTTATTTATGAAATCCAGCATTAACGCTGAAAGTGTAGCGTACTATTTATGTAAAATATGGATGTCTGCATGACTCTTTTATAATCCAACTTCGCATCAATTCGTACCGTAAAAGCTGTTACTTTGTTCAGTTTCAGACAAACTTTTAGAGTCAGTACATCAGATAATGTTCAAGTTCTTTCAGCTCTGCTTCTAGCTTCTAGCTTCTAAATAATCTTTCTTTAAGGTGAAATATGTAGAATTTGAAATACGAAATAGTTTAAGATTTACCGTTGAAAGATAGAACATCATGTACAATTGTGCCGACTATCTGGTACAAACAGTGTCTGTAACTTGTCATATGCAGGTGCTGTAGTGTCAAAGATTGTGGCAATTTTTTTTAAGATCTAATGGTGTACTTTGTATGTCATAGCTGCTGTGTAAGTTTACCTCTTTAAGTGCGTTAGTAAACTCTGCGCTGTAGATATATCTTGCTGCAGCTAGAGTGATCAAGTATTGATATGGCATGGAATTAGATTTTTTTAATCTCTTTACTCATTACGGCATCTTGCTTGATCTAAATTTACGCCACAATTTTAGTCATTTATGAATAAATCTACCAATTCTACTAATTATACAGTACCGAGTATTGATTATGCCATATTCTGCATACGCTTGCTAATGGTCCAAAAATGAATTATTGTTGTTGTCATGTAGGCAAAAGGAAGTAAAAATTTTATTACGTCCGCAAGTCTTGGCACAGTTGTTAAAGCTGAAACTATAGACATTACTAAAGTATTGGCTAAAGTTCGTACGGCGAAAGCCAAAGTGGAGAATGACTTAGTTTCCCGTGTTATGAAAACGAAGCGTCTGTGTTTAGGCTTAGTAGTAGAAACTGCTTGTGTAGCTGCAGCAGGTAAATTAACGGAAGCGGACAATTGGGAAATATCGGGTCATACAAATGCAAATATTGGAGAAGCAGTAGTAACGGCAACTGCTGAATTGGATAAAAATCTTTCTCGTAAAATAGAGATTCCGCCAGGTAGAATAATCATTCAAAGCTAGTGTCAAGGCTTACTTGTAGCTGTAAAAGTGATGCATGGAATTCGCATCCATTTCAATTATCTTTAATTGATTGATTCTTATTTATAGGAACAGCATTGGCATATTCTTTTATGGATCTTGAAATTTTAGAGGATAGATCATTACGTGTCTCATCCAGTGCAGGTGCTATGTTTGATTCAGGCAAAGCTGAAAGTACAGTTTAAGCTCTTATTTTTATAACATGTCTATTTTCCGTATTGCTAGTCATAATCGTTGTGATAAACGTAATTTTATAGCAAACACTGCTGCAAGTTTTGATTTAAAAGCGAAAAATAATGTTAACAATATTTACTAAATATTAATTTTCAAATTAACATCATGATGGAGTTTTGTATATACAGCGGTTTTTGGTGATATACTTTCATCCATATACGCGTATACTTGGCGAAAGGGAAAAATGTAATATTACCATTCTACATAATGAAGTAAATAGCTGTTCTGTGATTTGTATGTGGCCATAGTTGATCAGTGCTTGAATGCAGCATCATTGGTATTATTATCTCGTTAATTAGTGTTTCTCTAATATTATTATACAAATAGATGTGCGCTTATGATGATGTAATCGTGTAAACGATACTGAGTGAGTAGTTAGCTAGTCGTTTCTTAAACTATCTCGTACGATCTCGCTTTGATGAATATTGTCTAATATTTGACAGACTATGAATTGGCTACTGTAACCTGACGGTCCATTTGTAAATTTGTGGGTTATTAAATCTTTGTCCTAACTTTAAGAGATTTTAGGATTGATGGCGTGTATATTGTTATTGGCCTGCAAGTGATCATTTCTATTTCTGCTTGAACGTGTATATCGCTGTGATCGAAAATAGATAGAACGACAATGTCCAATTGTACAGTACAGTAGTTATTAAGAAGACTTGTTTAACTATAGTACGGGCTCTCTCTCTCTCTTCCTTTTGGTAGTTTAGTACTCGCTGTGAAAGGTCATGTTATTTTTACATATCCGTTTTAGTCCTGAAAGAATACAAAGTAAACTACTCGATTTGTGAATATGAAGTTCTTACTCGATTTCGTGCTACGATCGACTACGATCATCCAAAGTACAGTAGTACAGTAGATAGAAATGCAGAATTCTAAAGTTGAGAAGTACTGTACGTCCAGCCTACTGTACGTATGGTCCTATTTTGTACCTACTGTATATCCATTTCGTTGTGAACAAATGGCTAGTCAATGAGTCGATATGTATTCCTACTATGGAAACAACTTGCAACAGGTACACGCCTGAACGTTGCCATCGCACAACAGCCTGTGTAGACTCTTTATCGTCGTTTTCAAAGTACAGTATCGTCCATACTGTATTTCTAAATCAGTGTCAGTGACATTGTTTTTAATTTTATTGACAGTACAGTAGAGTATTTAGGAAATCAGATGTCACCCTCTTGGAAATCGGTAGTGTAGCAAATGATCTTTGTACAGTACTGTAATGTACCAGTACTACACGTCTCAGAACATTGCTGTTTGCGATATTAAAATCTCCAGAACATGATGTTACTGCATCCCAAATTTGGAAATCCAGTTCGGACACATCTTTCATACAGAAATAAACAAGATGTGTCCAGACTTTCCCTGCGCCCTGGTACGTACAGTAAATATAGCTCTACAGTATTGTACAAAGATCCATACTGGTACCAGTACTGCTGTAAATATATCTACATCCAATATATATATATTATATTATATTAATATTTATTATATATAATATATATATGACATACATATATATATATATAATAATATATATATACAGTATATCAATATATACAGTAGTAACATATATATATGTCTATAACTATATATATATTCCCTATATTTATTTATAGCCATATTTACAGCAGTACTGGTACGGTATTGGTACCGTACTAGTACCAGTACTGCTATGGCTCTAGAGTACAATGACAAACGTACAGTACGTAATTGACAGTCCAGTACTGTACACTCTACACTGTACAGTACAGTACATATTGTTGATTGTTGAAATGGACATTTTCTCAAGACTGCCAATCTTTCATTTATTAAATGATTTAATAGCATCCATGGCTGTCATGGATTCCCAAAAAGGACTTCTTTTACTACTGTCTTATACTGTCGTCTAACTTGAATCGTACTGTACTGTACTTGAGAGTGAATGCTGTACAGTAAAGTCAAAAACACAAATACAGTACGGTACACTACAGTACTTTACTGAGTGTACTGTGCTGTTACTGTACTGTATCGTATGCGAAGTACAGGATCACGGCGATAGATTTAGTGCGCATGCACGAATCATAGTTCGTTATCATGAATCAGCCCACGAAGAGAGCGAACCCAATTTTGACTTCTATCCGATTTGGTAGGCTATCATTTTATGCATATTAGGCGCAAAACGTAACTATAAAATCGTATGCAAAATCCTATAGCAATCATTGCATTACAACTGTGATCTCTCTGTCGCCACAGGGCGTTAACCTCGTCTGTTGTACTGTAGAGAGACCCTTATAAGAGAGATCTCCAAGGGTCTACATACTGTATAGTACTGTATTGTACAGTACATACAGTACAGTACGTCCTCTACTGTACAGTGTACAGTACTGTAAATTCGTTGTGCCTTTACAGTACAGTGTACTGTAAAGGCACAGTGTACACCAGCTCACTAGGCTACATTGTACCGTGAAAGGAAACTATATTACGAGGCATTTTTGCGTAACAACAGCACTGTATGTTTTTCCACGGTTGGTTGGCAAAAAGGCTGAAAGAAAACGTTGTTGGACTTTTTTCTTGGACACGATGGCCGGCGATAAAGCGCAATTGATCAAACAGAATGAACAACTTCGCATCCACGCTAACCTTCAGCGTGTGCCAGTATCTCAATCAGCGGCTGAGTGAGTATCGTAACTGTAATATACATTTTATGATGATATCGTTTACTGTATACTTAGCGGCCGTTGCAATGATTATTGAATGCTTGCAGTTCTTGATGATAGCAGTCGTACATCAGTCAAAAGAGCCCCACCAATCATGATGAATAGACAATTGAGTGGATGCTATTTCGTGTTGTCGAATGGCATCCGTATTCTACTTGATACTTAATGAACGAGTAGCTTGATGGATGAGGAAATTGATCCAGTGAATAATGTGGTAATTGCCGTAGTAAAATGACTGTATTCCGGCAATTCTAGGATGGGACAACACAATTACTCCTTGCAATTAATGAATAGTATTCTCTTTTTAGTCATATTTTCACCCAATTTCTTCCATAACGACAACTTGAAAGGATAGGCGAGTAGGCCATCATGCAGTTTATTGAAGATTACCATAACATGAGCCATTTCATCTTATCGAAATCTGGTCATGTACCGATTGATTCTTTCGGCCAATGACTATTTTCTGAAGTCAAAAAAGTGAAACCGATACTCCCTATTCTACAGTATGGGTACTGTTTCAACAACGCTAGAATAGTAGTCTACACTCAATACTAGCTTGAATGATTGATTCAATATGCCCAACAGTCGTTTCCACTTTAAAACTACTGTACTGTATATATCTATACAAACGTAATACGCTGAAAACAATTTTCTATGCTAAAAATTTAATAAGTGTCCACCATGTAGAAATATTCCTATTTCAGTAAGATAAATAATCCATTTCAAGAGGGATAGTTGTCCCGTCATTTGACCGAGAAAAGTTATCCAAATAAAAAGAAAAGTGCCTCCTTTACCTCGACTAGTCTCGAGTATCCATACTACTACCGTATAGGTTGAAGAGTCACTCTTGGGTTACTGCACCACACGGCACTCAAGTTACGGCGTATTTTTGTCCTTTCTTTGTGTTTTCGCTCAACACCATCGCAGAGAAAATTCTACAGTGTACAGTACAGGCAAGGTTACAGTGCCTAGTATCGTGGACTGTAGAGGATTGTATGAACATACTGTAAATCCTGACGGTATCATGACAGTATAGTACTAGAGTCGACCAGTAGGGAAAACCTAACTCTCATGGAAAGCAAGTATCCCTTGCCATTCTTACACCATTGCAGATGACGAGTGAAATAGCCACAATTGGCAAGGATTGTTATCGAAAATAAAAGCACATAATGTCTTTTAATTTACTAGTAAAGTTATAAACCATACACTTCAATCATTCCATAGAAAGATTGGATAAGAACATCGTTCTGGTACAGTAAATTAGTTCCATGATGGAGTAGTTTATTAAGTTGATAAAATAAAATCAATAATAATATTGGATACCAATACGGTAACTTAGCGACTACGGCAAATAACGACGCTCTGCTACTGTCAACTTTATTGTCACCTTCACAAGTAATGGTTTGACTTTTTTCCTTTTATTGTAGCATGAAGGCCTATATCGATAGTCATATCCAAAGTGATCCATTAGTCAATCCAGTGGACAAGAAGGATAATCCATGGGCAGACAAAAGCAAATGCACGCTGCTATAAAAGAATAAAATGATTGGCAAGACGAAGAAAATAAAAAAACGGCGACATTCTAAAAATATTTAAATCGACACAAAATACTCCGCATCATCAGTATGATGAAGCATAAATTATAAAGTAGTATTAATGTATCCCTGGAAAAACCCCAATTGCATCGTTATGTTCAAAAAAAGTCAAGATAAAAATTACTCTTGTATTCGAGTCTTAATGATTACATTTACATACATAGAAAGCAGTAAATAGGATCTTCTCGAAAGCTTTCTTCACTCCTTGCCTGTCATATTGTTATCTTTTAGAAATTTCAAATGTAATACGTCGTTCTTACTTTCTCATCAGATACAGTCAGCAATGATTGTTTTACATTGACGTTTAGCATAATTTAGCTTTGCATAAATCAACAAATACAACGCATTCCTAGTATTAATGGATTTATCACTTTCTTTCTGTTCTTGATTTATGCCTTTCGATCACCAACATATTTAAGCAAAATTCTTTGGCTGTAGGTTCGTTACTCGATCTTAACTATTCATTCAGGCATTTTTATTTCATCTGAGAAATGATTGTAGCTGCATTTTTTAAATTAAGAAGTGCTTATTAAGTGTCACAGTAAGCGTCTTTCCACCAGAGCAATAATGCCCTAAGAAAGAACAAGTCATTATCCAACATGCAATTGGATGTGACGGTGTCACGTAGATAAGTATTGCTGTAGTATAATGATAAAGATAATTTACTTTGTCAATGATTACAAATGCATTGTGTGCCTTTTAAGTATATTTTAGATGAACTTGTCCACTGTTAAATAATTTTGAACTAATTTACACGTTGTATTTAATAATCGTCAATTCTGTAAACATGTGATATAAGCATAAAAATAAAATCGTCTTTACTTGCTAGCGTATATACCGGATTAATCGTTATTGTTAGATGTCAAAGCCTTTCAACCGATTGATAATTATAATTACAAGCAAAATGAAGCATTATAGTTACGCTAAACTTTAATGAAACCTAATATTTGAAACTTGTACAATGGTCATTAGTTAATTTTTTTTTCCGAATAACAGGAGAATGATATAAACTCTCGTAAATAATGTCTTTTCCTCCAATCCATAAATTGCACAAATGAATACATTTACCTGCTTAACATCTGTAAAATGCGAAAATTTGTACAATAGTCAGCTTTAAATCGACTATCAGTTCGGAATAGAAGAATCTAACCACATAACCATAAGCATTAAAGAAAAAATCACTTTCATATCCGATCGTCAGTACAGTAGTTGCTCTTTACTGTATCCACTAACCAGTGAATTTGGACAATGAAGGTACAGTAGATTGATAAAAGTTAGGTGGTAAGAAAATAGCAGATGCTTGCGCAAGACAAATGCAAGATCCGCAAATGATCGGGAAATAACAGAAAGTCATGATGTTTATTTTCAAAGAAATATTTTAATTCGATTATCAGTCCTTGATCATAATCACCCCGATATTGCCAAATCTTACAATAATATTGGAATTATTAGCAAGAGCCAAGGCAAGAATGATGAGGCTCTACCTATGCATAAGAAAGCGCTTGAAATTCAAACTCCAGTACTTGGCAACAATCATCTCGATATTGCAAAATCGCACAGTAACATGGGGAGTGTATATTGTGAACTAGGTAAGTATGAAGAGGTTCTTGTTTAGTACGAAGTATCACTCAAAATGCGCATTTCCGTCCTTGATCATAACCAGCCCGAAATTGCAAAGTCTTACAACAGTATTGGAATTATCTACCATTAATCTTAATAATTATAATCTTAATAATTTTTAACTTAATATTAAACGTATTGAAAATTCGTAGAGCAATTCTTATTAGAATCTAATGCGAGCTAGGAAAGATTTATCTATCTTAGGCTCCAAGCTGATGAAGTCATCGTCTAGGTACAAAGATCAACTTTAGATAAATAAATTACTTAAAGATACTCACAAATGCTACAGAATTAATATGAAAATATTACCAAAGAAAATAATTGTATTAATGCTAAGTTATTACTGTTAATATTAGAATATAATTTAATCCCGGGATTACAATTATTATAAGTTTACGGCACAATGCGTATGATACTATAGTATTGACTAGCAATTTGGGTGAAAAAATTGAATGCAATACGTTTTTCAATAGGTATTGCTAAAAAAGTTAGTCCATTCTATTTCGTCAGGATCAACATTCATATTTTTTCAATGGATATTAAACTAATTGGGATATTGGTTGCAGCCGACGGTAAATCTTTGAGTACCTAATTGCATAATTTCGTTGATACTGGATAATTATTGAAGATATTTGTTTACCTGGCAATAAAAGTCCTTGAAAAAAGTAAAAGGTTGCATTTCATTTGTAAATTAATAGTAGTGAAATAGATCGTTTCAAAACTATACTGAATTTATTACTCGATGATAATTCGTATTATGATTTTTATTTAAGTCTGAAGCATGGACAATCAATCGGTAGCATCAGACATTGCTCAACAAATAAAATTTCTTTGCAAATTGGGGCAGCAAAATCATAAATCAAAAAAGGTCCAAGAGGCACTATCTTATTATTCGCTAGCTTTAGAACTAATTCGGTCGTTAGCAGAAATTCCTTCCGACCTTGATGAACTTCAGTATGATATTTATCTTGCTGTTTCTGATATTTATATACAACAAAAAGAGTGGGCTAAAGCTAGTGAATCCTGTCAGAAAGCACAAAATTTGGTAGACAAACCACACCAATTAATGAAAATTGCTCGAAATTTAGATAGAATAGGCGAGATTAAAAGATCGTGTCGTGATTGGAATGGGGCATTGAATGAATATATAACATCTCTGGATATAAAGCTACGTGTATTAGAAAACGACGATATCGATATTGCTGGATCATACAATAACATTGGAAATATCTATTGCGATCTAGATAAATATAAAGAATCGCTTTCTATGTATGAGAAATCACTCGAAATTTATATAGCAAGATTAGGCGATAATGATCTCCAGGTCGCCACATTATATAATATCATAGGTGTTGTCTATCATTATCAAGGCAAATGTGATGAGTCGATTTCTATGTATGAGAAATGCCTGAAAATTCGGTTATCGCAACTCGGTGATCATCATCTTGATGTTGCAACGCTATATAATAACTTGGGAGCTATTTATCATTATCAAAGTAATTATGATCAGTCAATTTCTTGGTATAAGAAGTCATTAGACATTCAATTATCTCAATTTGGAGAATATCACCTTGATGTTGCCGAGATATATTATATCCTGGGACTTGTTTTTTACGAACAACATAAATACGATGAGTCCATTTACATATATAGGAGATCGCTAAAAATTCGATTACTGCTGCTTGGCGATAATCATCTTGATGCTGCTACATTATATAACAACCTAGGTGTTGTTTACTGTGATCAAGGCAAATATGATGAATCAATATGTATGTATAAGAAATCTCTCCAAATTCGTTTACCACAACTTGGCGATAGTCATCTTCATGTTGCAGTCTCCTTTCATGGGTTAGGAGTTGTCTATAATGATCAAGGTAGATATGATAAATCTCTTTCAATGTATAATAAGGCACTCAAGATTTACTTAAAACGATTTGGTGATAATCATCATTATGTTGCAAAGATATATAATAGGATAGGAAACATTTACAGTAATCAAGGCAAGCATGACGAAGCTTTTTCCATGTATTATCAGCTTCTAAAAATTTATTCACAAGCCTATGGGGATAATAATCATCCTGAGGTTGCTGCATTATATAAGAAATTGGGAATTGTATATTATCATCAAGCCAAATACGAACAAGCTCTTTCGATGTATCAAAATTCACTGCAAATGTATATGCAGATTTCTGATGATCAGCAACCCTTTGTTGCTGATTTATACAGCGAAATCGGTAGAGTTTATGCTAAGCTAGGGAGATTTGATGATGCTCTGTCTTTATGCCAGAAGTCATTGAGTATCATATTAAATCGGAATGGTAAAAATAATTACTATGCGGCTAAGTCGTATGAATATATGGCCTTTGTGTATTGCATTAACTCTAAGTTTGATGAAGCTATTCCTAAATATCAACAGGCAGCTACTATTCTACGTAATCTTTTAGAGGAAAATCATCCTCAAATTTCTAGACTTTACGATGATATGGCAGATTGTTATGAACAACTGGATCGAAATAAGGAGGCTACTGATTTACGCAAAAAATCGAAATTTATTCAAAGTCAATTAAAATCTGAAGGTGCAGTAAATGAAAGACTTGTCAGTTGCGTGACACCATCTCAAGGTAATTCTTGCATAAGCGTATACATATGTAGAAGTGATTACATATTTATTTTAATACAATTTTACAGGCGCGTAATAGACTATTCCTTATGTAGTATCCACTTCCATAAATATTATGATGATTTACTTAAATCATTCTAATATTTACATTGCTGATAGCCTTGATTATTAAATCAAGATGAGTAATTGGGTACCGTAATTTTCAGTCGCCTTGATCCTTTTTTAGTGTGCCATGTTTTTACTAAGTAATGATTCTTTTAGACTTTATAGAGTTCGATAATATCTTAGTGCTTTAGCAATTAAGACATGGATATTAGTATCTCAGTAGCGTTTATGAAATGTATCCGTTATTAATAGCGCGTGCCTAAGTTAAATTACTATATCCCTAAAATCTGTTTGTGCATAAAAGTTAACCTTTGAATAGTATTGATAAATTAAAATGAGCATAACTGCTGCTGATATATTCGCTTCCTACTAGTACAAAACGCATTAGCAAATTTAAGAGAATTTAAGTCCTAAAGTACTAATTTTGACTACAATAAAATGAAAGACATCAGTGAAATTCGCTTTTTCTTTTTAACAATATGTAAAACTGATTGGTGATTACTGCTAGGATGTAAAACAGTAGAAAATACAGGATCTAATCAAGATAGTAAAGTAATATCGTCTGATGTACAACAGACGAAGGAAGACACAAAAGCCATAGAAGACTTTGAAGGTTAGTCATCAAGAGAAACCAGTCACTGGACTCTATTTTTCCTATAATACATTAATAATTACTTTTCATGAGATGAGTAAAATATAAGTGAATTGCCTAATGTGAAAGAAATTTATCGTGAATCATGAATATAATGATATTTTACTCATTACAGATGATATAAATTAGGGTGATCATAGATTGTTTCTTTAAAATTTTTTATTACTTACAGAATTCTGCATTTTTTGAATATGCTTTAGAGAAGGAATAGAATTACAGTATTTATATTAGTTTGATTCTATTTTAGCAATTAAGATGAAATATTAAACAATTAACGGTGAATTCATTGAATTATTTCATTTCTATTCTACAGTTTTTCAGCAACAGCTACCAGAATATCAAGTTTTATCTTGCGGCCGAGGTAAGAAATAATATTGGTAAAGGACAAAGATAGAATGATTTTGTGTAGAACTACATTACTACTAAGATGTATCGTAGACAGTACGGTAACTTTTCAGGTCTTTCAAGAACATTGAAATTAATCAGCTTTTAATACTTTCAATTTATTTAATTTACCTGACTATAGAGGTTTACAATTCGTGTCTGATATTATAACCAGTTAACTTCGTATTGCAAGCCTATTCCATCTAGAGGATCAGGTAGCATTACCTTCTATGAAGTAGATGAGATTACAGTTTAAATGATATTCGAGAATGCATGGAGGAAGCATTTAGAATTTTGAATTTATAGCTGCAGGAAGGTTGTCAGAAAGCTGGTGTTTGTGAATTGATATAGGCCTAAAGTGCTAGGGGTTAATATGGTAATGTAAATCTGATGGAGGAGGAATTGGATCAGCGAACTTTGCAGTATAGTCTGTGACATGCAGACTTCTTGTCCGAGTTATAGAAATGGGCAAAGAATAAGCAAAGTGATGTCATGTAATATATAGAATTGCTAAAAAATAACGCTTTCAAGTAATTATGAACATCTCTAAATTAATTTCAAGTATTTTACTAGTTAAGGTTGCTGTTTTGGTATTGTAAATATTAAATTAATACTTAAATCGATAACTTCAACATCGTAAAGTAATGTGGTCGCTACATAAAATCATCAGAGATAGTTCTCCATTGATCATCTTGCATGGTGAAGTGCCACTAGGTAGCAGCTAGATGAGGCAGATATTATTAACAGTAAATGTAATTTCTTAACGTAAAATGTTTGATTGGTGAAATTTAAAGTACCGGTATTCTTCTGGAATTGAAACGTTTTTATATTACTGTCAATTAATTATATACTTCAATTTTTCAATATAATTCGATATGAAATCATGATTTAAATTATTTGAAACGGGGTGTATGGCTCAATTAATTTAATTTAAAAACAAGATTTGCAACTAGACTTTGTATTATTGAAGCTAAAAATAATTTACAACCGATGGAGAACTCTTAAAATCTCGTTTTTGATTACTGAATTGCTAGAGACAACGTAGTTCTGGTATTTTCGACTTTGAATTAAAAATTTTGATGGCACATGGATACATGAAACCAAGAAAGTCTAGTGAAAGAATCAAGCGATTCTAATTGAGTCGAGTTAACTCGTTACGGAGGTGATCTTTTTAAAGTTTGACGGTTAACTTTACTGGAATTTGCATAAAATAATGAGGATCAATCTTTCCTGAATCTTCTACCTCTTTAACTCGAACTCAGTAGTTTTACTATTCCAGTTGTGTTTATTGATAATGAATGAGATAGATCATTGATAAAGTTTACTATGGTTACCGCGCCATTATTTTCTGGCCAATATCATCTTTCGTTATCGTAGTACTAGACTAGATGGCCATTGCAACTATCTTTACTGTCGCGGTCCTCACCGACTACTTTCTGACAAGCTTACTAGTCTAACATTAAGCTCTTACCGTAAATTGTTTGTACAGATTGATACCCTAATCTAACGTAATATCGAATCTAATTCTAGTGCTGCAATCCTAACAGCTCAGAACGACCTTTTTAAAAGGCTACTCATTATTTGTTAAGCATTATTACAATATTACTAGACTGGATGGCGATTTCATCTAATTTACTTTCGCGGTTCTTACTGACTCCTTCCCGACAAGTTTACTAGTTTAACATCAAGCTCTTTCTGAGAGTTGCTTGTGCAAATTGATGCCCTAAGCTACTGTAAGATCCAGTCTAATTCTAGTGCTGCTACTCTAACAACACGGAATTACCCTTTTGAAAGGCTACTCATTATTTGCTAAGCATTACTACAGTAATACTAGACTTGGTCCCTATTTCATCTATTTTACTATATCGGTCCTCACCGATTACTTCCCGACCAGTTTATTAGCTGTTATAATACCGTTAGAATCCGAAAGTATTAATTTTATAATTGCCTTACTGATACTAAATTTAGTACAACTATTATTAGAGTATTTTGATATTATGATTATGATTACATGTTTCATGTTATAGTCGCCGAACGTTGTTCTAGACAAGAGTCTTAGAGAAAGTGGGTTAACGTGGGGAAATCGTTTTCCATAATTAGTGGAGTGATGAAGACTAAATTAAGAGATAGAGATAGCAATAATAATATGTTTACGCATAGACGTTTTCTATACTGTATAATCAGAGTTTCTCTTAGAATAAAGACTACAGCTGCTAACGACTTTAGTTAAGACTTGGCTTTGTGTCTTAAAAGTTAACTTGTGTTTTTCTTGTTGCAGTTGCTGAGTTGTGGCACTAGTCTAGCATCAATCTCTTGCAAGAGGATAATATTATCAGAAAGAAAGCACTGTACAAACAGAACCTTTCTACACTGTATAGTCTAATTGCAACATCATTTTGGATGTGTCGAAATGGGTGGACTGTACACCGTACAGTGTATATATATTATGCACTCGAGATTGCAATTTTTGCATCAATTTATACAAAATTGATGCAAAGGATGGGTATTTTTGAAGCGTTTTACTTCTGGTTTTTTACCATTCCAACATATCAAAGAAAATAGAACACATTACAGTATATAGGTAGACACAGATTTCTATGTTCTCTTTTACTGTGGTTTAACATGGAAACATGTTAAGCCATGTTCAGGGTGGAAGGGTGGGGTTATAGTATTACTGTTACCATAACAACTGAGAATTACGCTTCTTAAAAGATCAAAATCAGCCAAGTGTGCGCGATTATAGTATTGCTACGATAACGGCTCAGAACTACTTTTCTAAAAGGCTTAAAATCAGTCGAGATACACTGTACTATAATCCGTAAAAGTAAACTACTGCATCGATTCAACTTTTCTACGTTGTACTGTAGAGTGTTTGGTGCGATAACACTTTAAGTAGATAACATTCAAGTTGGAAGTCATAACAAGTCTTTGATTTAACATTTTAACGTACGCTTATGGGATGGTAGTGAAGGATAGAAGATCATTGTAGAGTGTTTGATGAGATAACGCTTAAAGTAGCTAACATTCAAGTTGGAAGCCGTAACAAGTCCTTGGCTATACATTTTAACGAACTCCTGTGGGAGTTTGGGATGGTCAATTGGTATTGTATGATAGAAAATAGTTTTAGGATAGTTGCAGTCATTGGATAGGCCACAAATTTTCTCAATCAACGCATCCCAGGCAGATGCCATTTTAAATAGCGTTGGCTAATTAGCTTGAGGAATAACATAGAAGTAAGAATAAATTCTTGACGGATCACTGAATAGCAGCTAAGGTACACGTGTTAGACAGTGTATCTCTTTCGATCTATTCGATATGGCTCTACATCCTACCCAGTTGGACATCCTAGAACGCTTACTGTTACTCTATGAAGACGGTCGCCAAAGTCAGCAAAATTATAGAGATGAAGAAGCACTTTCCAGTTATTTACATGCTATCGATGAAATCCAATCCATCGTTCAACCAACTACCGAATTGGATGAATTACAATACGATATCTATCTTAATATTTGCGACATTTACATACGACAACACCAATGGGTGAAAGCTGATGAATTATGTCTGAAAGCAAAGAAAATAGCATTAAAAGTAAACGATCAGTTGAAAGTTGCTCGATGTTTAGATCGCCAAGGCGACATTCAATCACTGCAAGATAATGCAAGCGGAGCTTTAGATAATTATGTTAAATCACTGGGTATTAAGTTACAGTTATTAGGAGACAATAATCTAGATATTTCCAGCTCTTATGGCAGAATTGGAATCGTCTACTACAACCAGGGAGAGCTTGATGAAGCTCTTTCGGCGTATGAAAAAGCGCTAAAAATCGATGACAGAATATTTGGTCGTAGTCATCCCTGTGTTGCAGACTTGTATACCAGCATTGGTAAAATATACGATGATCAGAAAAAGTACAGTCAAGCGTTAAACAACTACAAAACGGCTCTTGAAATATGCAAGCATGTATATGACGATAATCATCCTAATGTTGCTCAGTTATATGCTAGCTTAGCAAGTATATACTACAAACAAGGTAAGCACAAGCAGGCTCTTTCTATGTTTGAAAAATCGATAAAAATGGTCAAGCAAGTACATGGCGAAAATCATGCGGATATAGCTGTTTGGTACCAAAACATAGCATTAGTGCTTCTAAATCAGGCAAAGTATGATCAAGCCATAACAATGTATAATCAGGCTATCAAAGTTTTACGTAATCTTTTCGGTGAAAGTCATCCTGATATTACCCAAATCAATAGCAAGATAGCCGATATAAATTATCAACGATATCAATCCGATATTGCTGTTCCAACGAAAGAAAGTGGTAAGATAGTTGTAAGATGATCGTGAATAGAAATAGAATAAATTTATGTTCAATTAGTACTTATAGCGAGTAGTTTAAATGCGAAAGAATTTGTACTGTGTGACTTGTTAAATAAGTCGATACGGATATCCTCTTTCCACTAGTTCATTGCGTAACTGACCAGCATAAAGAACCCAATGAACGAATAAACTTAGCCAGTAGTTTTTTATATAAGGTTTACATAGTAAGGTATCAACGTGTACACTTACTTGACTTATAGGAAGTGAAGAATCTAACTCACAATATACGAAAGAAGAAAATGAAGCTATAAAAGAATTTATCGGTTTGTATTGAGGAGAAAGATTGTATTTTCAATATCGCAATCGTGACGTAATTATTGGTCGTTGTTTTACAAAATAATTATAGCTTAATGTCTTGTAAGAAAGTTGCTTAGTGTACTGATTGACTTGATAATATATCAGATACAACTGCTTTAAGGCGTTTCGAAAAATTAAAAAGTGTTCTAATTTACACCTTATAATGCTGTACAGATGCGTGTTATTCTACGATTGCAAACTCCATTGGAAGTCATTGGATTGCATTGGCTTCTGATCTGGGCCTTTCCGACCATGATATTAACTCCATTAAGAAACAATCTAGCAGTTCACCTACTCAGTCCACTTTAGCAACGCTAATGCTCAATTATTGGCGCAAGAGAAATTTAACACAAGATAACCTGACAATATTAATGAAGAGTCTTGCTGATTTAAAACAAAAAAAAATAGCATCTAGTTTGAATAATCTTTTAATTGAAAATCAAAAGAATCCACTATGTTCTAAATACGTCACTACAGTTTTACAAGGTAACAGATTTAATGCTATCATTTAAATGAAGTGCTATTTTAAAATATTGCTTTAATTTAATCGTGAATAGAACTTACCCAAAAGAATACAGATCTAGAAAATGGTGATGGAAACGCAGATAGAGATGGTAAGAGGACACAAACTACATTGTGATGCATCTTGTTTCTTGTAAAATATCCGTAATCTTTTAATAATACGGCTTGCAGAATGTAATCAAGTTGTAGTCTTTAGCAGCTACGTAGTCAGGTATTTCAGTCTAGCAGAGTATTACTGATAGCCGATGTATGCAGCTTTATTGTCATACTGGTTTATGGTAATAATGTAATTAAACTAGAAAATCTAACGATAGGATATTCAGTATCATAATGCCTAAAAAATTAATAAGCTATGAGTAGGTGGTGCATCTTATCAAAATTCTATAAAGTAATGTTATCGATATCTGACAGCTATAGAGTAAAGCATTTCAGTACGTTAATGTTATAATAAAAAATTTAGAAAATTTCTACATTTGTATAGGATAACACATATGCGATCCATTAGTAATACATAACAACATAAGTGCTATTAATGATAATAATAAAGCTTCAGTAATGAGCTAATTAGTTATTAATATTGGCAAATTTATGGCTATGTTAATGTATTTTATCTAGCTGTAGAAGATAAAGAATATCTAGAAGACTATAATAGAGCATTAGAAGATGGTAAATGTAGTAATGATTTTACTAAAATTGTCATTGTCGGTCCTGAAAATGTCGGTAAATCATCTATTATGAATGCATTTACTGAGGATGGAAAACTTAAGGAAACCCGCCAAACTGAGGTTGCTGAAGACACTAACAAATTAGTAAATCTTATCACATTTGATATTTTGAATAAGAAAGTAGTTGATTTTAGAAAAGTATTACTTCAGAAAGTACTCTTGGCAATAGAACGGTTTAAAAATCAAACTGACCCTAAATTAACCGTTAATCAACAAGACGAATTGAACGCCAATCAAGAGGACAAAATCAACACCACATCTGATCATTCGCGTGGCCAAATGACCACTACAACTGAAAATAATTTAGAAATAACGAAAGATGTGAACGAATTAGCTGTTGCAGAAGTAATAGAACCTACATTAAAAGCTGAAACAGTGGATAGTTCTACAGATATCGATAATAATGCTGTAAAAGACGCAGAGAATAGCTCTATACCGAAAAATTATCCCACTCAAACTATACCTAAAGTAAATCATAAGCTCTCAATTTATGAAGATTTAATACGATCTCTGACGGATACTAAGGGCAAGATTGAAGATGATAATACTAAAGATAATCGCTACGGAAAGCTAGTCGATTTTGGAGGTCAAGCTATCTATTACGTAGCCCATCGCCCATTCCTATCTGGAAAGAGTATCTATGTGTTAGTTTTTAATATCAACCATACAATTGATACTCCAATAGAGGGCCGAAATAATAAAACCATCGGTGTGACCTACCGACAAGCTATGCGAGAATGGCTAACCTCGACAATCAGTAGCCACAAGGGTAAAAGTACTCTCGATGTGAAAATTGGTGAGGAATATGCGACATACGATCTGCCGATTGTTATCCTGGTAGCATCACATGGTGATCTAGTAAAGCCTTCGGAACACCGTAAAAAATTTAGAATTTTCAAAAATGCATTAGTCGAAGATATGCCAAAATATAGACGAAATATATGCAGTTCAAACATAATATTTCACTGTAAACCAAATGATAATACCAAAGCATCTGTTAAGCAAAGACGTGATACTAGTAGTACCCTGCATCAATTAATCAAGCAATTTGCTTTGAGTCAGCCGTTTATGAAAGAAGAAATTCCCATTCGATGGTATATTATGGCATCAATACTACATACGTCAGCTGACGATAAAAGTAAGGAAACTGCATCAAAATCTAGCTATAAAGATATCTTACATCGAATACACAACATCATGAAATACGATGAAATTAGACAGCTAGCTAAAGATTGTGAATTGTATGAGGACGAAAAAAATTTACGAAGTATGCTGCTGTACTTGCATGATATAGGCGATATCGTATTTTGTGAGAAAAAAGGGTGCGATGCAATGGTAGTAACTAATCTGGATTGGCTACTTGCAATATTTCGATCGATTATCAAAATTGGTGATGATAACTGCAAGAGTGCTTGCTCAGAAAGTTGCTGTAAAACTGCTCGTAAAACTGGTAAAATGTCAGAATCATGTATTGATGCAACTCTTGCTAACAGTGAAATAAAACTAAATAAAGACGAAAAGGAGTTTACGAGTGCTTACTCAGAAAAAAAAAAAAGAAAAAGAAAAAGAAAAAGTTGCTATAAAACTGCTCGTAAAACTGCTCGTAAAACTGGTCAAATGTCAGTATCATGTATTGATACAACTCTTGCTGACAGTGAAATAAAATTAAATAAAGATGAAAAGGAGTTTATGAGTGCTCACTTAGAAAGTTGCTATAAAATTGCTCGTAAAACTGGTAAAATATCAGAATCATATATTGGTAAAATTCTTGCTAACAGTGGAATAAAATTAAATGATTACGAAAAGAAGTTTATTATACAATTAATGGAGAGCTATGATATCATTTGCAAGATAGAGAATAAAAATCAGAAAGGAGATGATGGTCGCCAGTTTATTGTGCCGTATTTGCTATATTCATCAGATAAAATGAAAGCTGATGATTGTATTCTTTCCGATTGGTTATACATTGGATACGATTGTAAAATTATACCCTATATTCCTGACGGAATATTTTACTGCCTTTTATCAGCGTGTTTAAAGATATGGAATGTGTTAGACGTAGAGATCTACCGTCGATCTGCAAAATACAAACTGGAATTTCCTTATGGGATTATAATCAAGAAAGAAGATTCATATATTGGTTTACAATACTGTTACAAGGCTGAAAATAAAGCAATTGCTGAATACGTTAAAAAGGATATTAAATCTTCAATCAATGCTAATAAACCACAAGAAAAGATTAGAGACACTTTAGACACAGTAGTTAGTGAGAGGATGCCAAAATTTCAGAATGCACACTGTCAATTTTTTGTTAATTGCTCCTCATGTGGAGAGAAAACAACAATTACAAGCCATTTAAATGGACAGTTGACTTATATCTGTTGTTCAGAATGTAATACGCACTTCAAATCAACAGCATTAAGCCAGTGGATGGGTGATAAGCTGGAAGAATTACCAGGTATCGATTGGATATTGAATTTTAGTTTAAATTGTTATTCTTTCATATATTTTAATTTAAAACTATACGCCTGTTAAATAATGTATATCATCTGCACTTACTTGCACCGTTGCCGATTTACGATGCCCTATTTTTAAATTAGATATATCTTTATAGAACTATCAATTTATCACAAAATTGTTAAGGGGAAGGCTGTAAATTTTCACATATCCATAAAGACAGTGATATATCAAGAATATCAATTTAATTAATGTAACGTAAATGCATGTAGTGCTAGAAATTATTTAATTAATTAACTGGCAAATTTCAGTCAATTTTTCGCAGTCCATTAAGCCTTTCTTGGATTTATAGAAAAAATATTTCACTCTATTTATGAATTCTACGCAAAGTTGATACCGTTGAAATTGTGGGCAATTCGCAAAAGAAAATTTCTATGTTATCTACTTGAGGTTAATGTAGTACCACTAAGTGGCATATTACAAATTTTACGTCACGGATGATAGACCACAACTGAGTTTTTTTTAATTGTATTGGATTAACATTATAATGGCCGATACAACAGATAAAGAATCGTAATAGAAATCAGTCGATTTTACTACTCTATTTTTATCTTTAGGTACGCAAGCACTATGCAAATATCAAGGGTTTTCTTACCAATTACATCGAGGTATTACCTTTTAATTTAAATTATTGGTAACTTAACTTCATTCATTATCTGTACATGCCATAATACGTATATTAAGAGGTGTCATTCTATTACAAACATCATTCCTTAAATGAATAATTTAATACTAATTTTAAAATGTGATTTAGATTTATGATTTTAAACCTATGCTGTGTAATATGCTATATAAGTGAATGGTGACCAATAGATTATACTTATATTTATAGACGTTAGTAGAGAATTGTTGTAAATATGCAGAAATGTCCTACCATTAGGATTAATAATTTACTATTGA